TTGCGATAGAAACTTCGGTTTTCTTCAAAAAAAATAATGATATCTTGGGCCTGATTGTCGCTCGCCGTCGAAAACGAAATTTGGAAACTCATTTGAGTTGTTGAGATAACTGATATCAAATGGAGGATTTTGTCGGAAACCTTAAACATTGTTCAATGCATCTATGACAATGATAACATGCCTCAAAATATAGTGTAATATCATTATACTTTACATTATGCATATATATTAAATTTGTGAATTTATGCAAATATATAAACATAATAATATAGGATAATATCTTAAAATATAAGATAAGATAATGTAAATGGTTGTTATGATCTAAAATGATATAATTGTAATTATTCTAGTAATTAGAGACTAATTTTAATATAACTCTGAGAAATCTCTGAGTTTGACACCTCAGCATGGCACAATTAAAAATTACATAAGATTTTTTTTAATGTGTCTTTGTAAAATAATAAAAGAAGATATGAAATTGTTGCCTTTTTAGTGTTCAGCCCTCAAGATTAGAAGAATTAAATACTTTCCTAGTAATAATATTCTTGAGTTTCCTATTTCCTTTTCACTTATAAATATGAAAGTATAAGAAATAATTTTTCTAATTTCTAAAACTCTTTACATCATATCATTTCCGGTTTTTTTTATATTGACACCACCTAATTTTTACTCTAAAAGTGGATGCTAAAAGGAATTTATGATTAACAAAATTTTCTTCGTATAAATCTCATAAGTTTCCTGTGAATAGCGAGTTCAGAAACTGCAAAGCTTCTCTACAATTTGTCATAATTCCAACAAGGTTAAAAGAGTGTGAGAATAAGACTGTTTTTATATGCAGGAACAACCAAAAACCTATTATGGTTTGATATTTTAATTCCTCTAGAGAAGTGCAATCGCGCAATATTATAGAGTCTCGAGTGAACAGTCTTTGAAGCTATGTCCTAAATACCTAACAACAAGAAAGTTGCAAGCATGATATATTTTTGCTTATAAGGACTAATTAGTAGGGGAATTGTGCTATTAGAGTTTTGTTCAGGTGAACGTGAACCTCAAAAAACGACCCTAAGGATGTTCTAGACAGATTTTAAGCACTTCAGTTTACGACAACTCTGCAAAAGCATCCATGACACGGAACTTGCTTGGGGTTTTTGTTTTTCTTTTTTAGGGTGAACGAAATGAGATCGATTCTCTCATTTTAATTTTGTGACCGAGTATTTTTATACTTGGCTAAACCCCGAATTAGGTGATTTATATACAAGAACACTTCTTTTATACAACACACGAGTATTAGGGAAGATTAAAGCCACATCATGCATGCATACCAAAGCTTCAAAACTATATATATATATATATATATATATCGCGAAAACTTGACGGAAAACCTCAAAATAAGATCGTTAATTAGTCGTTTGGCTAGCTTTTACATCCACGCTAGGTGAGGTTCTTCGACTCGACCGCCCCTTATGCTTCATCGAAGAAAAAGAATTAAGCGGCCTAATGAAAGAAGCTCAAGAGACGTGAAAAGCCAAACGAACTTATTAGATGTGTATACCAGGTTAGTTCGGTTTAATGTACAGTCAAACTTTAATAATATCAAGACTGTAATATTCTATTAATTTATCGAATTATTAATTTATCGATATATTCTATTAATTTATCGATATAAAAATTAGTCCAAAAAACTAATTTAAGACCTAAAAAATGTATTAATTTATTGAGGTATTAATTTATGAGTATTAATTTATAGAGGTTATACTGTATGTAGATTAGGCCACTGGTTAGTTTACTTTAGCTAACCCATGTGACTATATAAAAACGTTGTACATACATTATGTCAATTAATGAGAAAGTGGAATTTGATTTCAATAGAACTCGACCTGATCACTGAACCGAATAGAGACATGTAAACTTTAATTTACTCTACGACGACTAATACTAGCTTACTAGTGAAGCTCATTACGTCGCTCATTACCGAGTTGTTAGATTGCAGAGGCAAATGGTGCGACCACTGGTAATGGTTTGTCCGCGATTGCTGCTTTTGGCCTTTTGAGATAAGCATAAGCTCAATTGTCGAAATATTAGACAAGACAAGCCCGTCGAAACAGAGCAACCACTTTTCAGTTGAATTCATTCCATTTTTTCCCCTTTAAATATGATTTACATATACTCGCTGATTTTTGACAAAAAAACCAAGAAAAGTAAACCGTTCTGATATTTGTTTTTAACAAAGAAAAAAAAGAAGAGATAACATTACCCCGAGTCTCCCTCCTCTTCTTCCTCTACCCCATCGCTGCTATAGTAAGAACTCCCGGAAGAGATGCCGTCTGAATTTACCTCTCCTGAGCTGAGATATTACTATTACTTTAATAAAAGACAACAACAACAAAAAAAAAAAAGCATAATATAATATACACAGCTAAGTAATCCATGAACCTTGATGATGATGATGATGCTGATGATGATGCTGATGCTGATGCTGATGATGATGATGATGATGATGGTGATGCTGATGATGATGATGATGCTGATGATGACGACGATGATGATGATGGAAAAATTGCCACAAATGTGAGACTTGATCTTAGTTTCTTCAGCTCCTTAATAGGAAATCTACAACACAAAACAATGTCATATGTGTAGCAGTAAATTTTTTAACAAAGAATACGTACAAATCAATCATTTACTTTGGTTCAAAAGTTCTATTGCCTCCATCAGACAATAAACCGTAGTTGCTTGATACGTCCTATCGGAAAAGAAGAAGATTATTACGAGCACGCAAAAAGTTACTTGTGTCATACACAAATTCACCAAAATTTCCGATAACAACTTACAACGTGCCGAATGGATTTGAAGTCTCCCGCGAGTAGTGAATTCAAAAACAGCAAAACTTCTCTCTGAATACCAAGGTAACATTCAGGACTCATGAGTATGACATCAAAAACAGAGATCGGAAGGTAAAAAGACTTCTTATGTTTTACCATTACCTCCTCTAGAGTATAGCAGTTGCGCAATAATAGAGTCTCGAGTGGACTGTCTCCGCAGTTATGTCCCAAATTCCTACAATCAAACTCTGACGCCATAAGAAGTTTGCTACCAAACACTAAAAAATATCATCCTAATCTTTACTCACGCGACACAAACCTTAAAAAGCAACCACTTATTCCATGCAGTCCTGACAGATTAATGTACTTAAGTTGACGAAACCCCTGCAAAAGAATCACAATATTTGTTTTCGGTTTTGTAAAAGCGTATAGGTGGTACCAAACAATAAGAGAAGATATACCAACAAAGCTAGAGAAGCCATACGTTAATGATTACTCGGGCTCTTGCGTCATTTAACGCAAAATGTTGGAGCGTTAGCGAAGTTAAGTTGGGGCAATCATCCACAAACTCTACCAAGTTTGAATCTGTTGTAAGGTCTATACTACCAGTCACAAAGTAAATAACTTTAAGCAAACCTCAAATGAAAAAGAATATATATATTGCAATAGGAAAGCTCTAGTGGAAACATATACCTGCTGTTGACCTATAATAGTTTTCTAAGAACAAGTGCTCCATCAAACGACAATTTCTCGTGACTGACGCTAACTGCTCCAGTGGATTTAGAATGTCACGTGAAACACTAAATAATGCGAAACGTGAAAGAATCTATCATTAGGAATCAAAGTGAACAGACACTGAAGTAACAAAAACGAAGTCAAAAGCATAGAAGATGGCGCCTCCAGGCAAAGTAAAGGAAAGCAACAACGAAATGGAGAATTTCTACATTTTAGGGGATCCAAGACAACTTACAATCCAACAATCTTCAAATCAGTGAGATTTGAACAGGCTGCCAACACATCACATATGGATTTTCTATCCATTAATATGAGATTGTAAAGGTGTAGGCTTCTCAAGAGACCCCTAATGGAGAAGGATAGTAGTGTCGATCAGAAGATCAAACACAGACGTTAATGGAATAGAAAATTCTCAAGCGGAAAATTGGTAAAACCGTATCCTCTATATTGCTGTTTCGGACTGGGCAAATCAGATTAAAATGAAAGGTTTGGTGAATAAAATTATCCCTTGTATATATTGGTAATCAAGCACATACCCAGCAAAACCATGATTAAAATATAGTGGAGCAAGACAAGATCTTGTAAGCAAAGATTTAAGAGAAACACAACCAAGTTTGAGGGATCTGCACACATGAAGAAAACATGAGAGATGGATTACATACACCAAATTTAACCACAAAAGAAGATAACCCAGAAACTAAAAACCTCACCTGAGTTCTTTTCCAGCCCGATGGATCATAATACACACAACTCCATTATCAACATCTTTAGCAGCCAGTGTCAAGTCGATATGGGAGTAACATACACGGTCCATAGCACACTTGTTGAACATTGTGCAGCACGCAGAGGCTTGCATTAGGGACTTTGTATCAAGCATTGAAAATACCTAAATTTTCATTAGAAACATATTATGTGAAACATCACTCAAGAGAGCACAGTTACACAGTTCCATGAAGAAAGTATAATTCAAGCAATCGCAATTTTATTATATTGATGATTCTGAGATTAGGAAGGAGTTTACAACCCTAGAAGACTGTTTACAGATTCACTAAAGCGGGTAGAAAAACAGGGCAAAACTTCCACGAACAGAGATATGATATGATAATTCTGGATTTGTTACCTTAGTCGTTAGTTCAGGAAGGAGAGGCCAGGATATGGAATTTTGAAGGGTGGCGCGCTTCCTGATGCACCGTTTGGTGGACTCGTAAAGAAGCGATGCAAGTTGGAGAGTGCGATCCAGGAAGCGATCCTGATCAAAATCATCACCGGAAGTTCTGGCGTCTGAGGAGATAACTTTATCAAGCACTCGATCAAAGGAGCAGCCAATAGAGAGTGGCGAGGAGAACAAAGGCAAGTCCGACAATGAAAGGAAAGAGGAGACAGTCACATCGACGTTGCTCTGGTTGAAACCTGGAGCCAAAGGGAGGGAACTAGGGTTTTCGACGGAGGAGGTAACCGAAGGAGCCCGGAAAATTCGCTTGGGATTTGGCGCATCCATGACACGGAACGTTAAAGAGGAGTATCTTTGAAAGGAGTGAATGGAAGACAGAGATTTTCTATCAACAGGCTCGAATTTATACTGAGCTTTACTGTAGAACACGTCTCATTTTCACTTAAAGCCTGCAACAAATTTTTCATCCCTGAAACCAAATCTACAAACACCAGAATGATAAAATACATGTCAGTGTCACCATTCACACCAAAAGACTACTGTTTATTCAGACAAGATGAAACTCGAGAACTGATCATTGGTACCAGAAAGCCAAATGAAATCTACTGAATAGAGAATAACTTAGCAAGTTCGAGCTGTTATCGAATTTAAGAGTCAGCGAAATTAAGTTATTCGTGACAAGCTTTGCAAATTCTGGACGTGATAAATGGTGTTATCTAACTGTGACATTAGGGATGGTTTCGAAATACGATACTTACAGTAAACGACATTCAGATCAATGTAATATATACGGACAAGCTGACCATTTGGGGGAGCTTGTCTCTCCTCAGTATTCTGAAAAGGTGCTGACTTCTCACGAGATTCCTAGTTGAATGAAACAAAGAAAGTAAATATCAGAAGGTTAACGCCAGATGCTCAAGAAGGCAAACACAACTCAAGCCCGTTAAATTCAAGACAAACAGCAATAAGTTAGGTAGGAGGATCACAACAAAAAATAAGTAACTGAGCCATACGCAGTAGCGGACACAGACAAGGATTTTAAAAGCCAACAATATTATATCATCCAGAAAAAGCAATCAGCACTACAGATATGCATGCGTAAACGAATTCTTGAAGAAATGATTAAGAGAGTCCTAGTACAAAAGTAAACAACCACAAAACACTAGAAGCCCCCAAGATATTCAGAATTTATAAAATTCCATCACTTGGGAATCCTACTTGGTGTCGAAAATACAGAAAATACTACTTTCAGAACATTACTTGCTAACTTCTGGAAGAAGTGGAAGATAATATGAAGGTAATATGAGCAGTTAACCCAAGTGCAGACCCAACTACACATCCTAGAACGCACAAGTTCAACCTTTTCTCCAACAACAAACATTGTACAGTCCATGTGGGAGTAGCATAAACAGTCCAAGGCATACTTTGTATAAACGCTCGAAAAAGTGACTTCAAGATTTTCCTCAGAAGGAAAAACGCTCTTAAACATCGTCAGCTTAGGTTGAACGCACAGAAGAATGTAGAAAAAAATGATAAATGCCCAATTCCACTAACACCATTTTTGTTTATATATTTTAGGCATAGATAATTAGTTGCCAAATCCACGAACAGTGCACAATTTTGAGAACTATCTTAATCTGTTTCTTACATTCAGAATGACATTAGCCGAGATGTACCAGGAGACGGAATCGTGAAACAGTAGCGTGATTACACAGAACCAACGAGAAGACGCGTGACGAATTAGAAAATACGATGAACCAGCGAGGCAATCCTATCTCCGTCGAATGTGGCGGCTGCGGCTATGGAGACGAGGAGTCTATCAAAGGAACGATGAAATAAACAGGGAGATTTACTTCGGAACACTTGGAATGTCGTTCGTGAGACGATCGGCGAGTCAAAGATCCGACTCCTTAACCCGACAGTTTGAAACTGGATCCATCGTTAATTAGTTGGGCCAAGTTAATGATTTTAGGCTTATACTTTCAGCTTAATCGGCCCGTCTAATACAAATGTTCTCCAAGTGACGCAATCCGGTTTGGTTTCGAAACATAGCCGATTCTAATTTTATTTCACAGTTAATTCCATTTTTATTTCGGATTCGTTACGATTCGATTTGATATAATTTCAGTGTAGTACGGCTTGGGTTTCGGTTTAAATTCACTTTTTGATCCGGTTACAGTGAAAACATGTTGTTGATTTTGGTTGTTCTGGTTTTGGTTTTGGTTTGGTTTAAACGTTCTGGTTTACCAATATAGCATTTTTAAGACCCATAAAGATCCATAAACTAAAATCAGAACAACAGAAAAGAAAAATACAAATGCAAGAAAAATTATTAAATACAAACCCAATTGAAATTAACATCAAACATAGTCATCATAACTTTGTTTTCTTTTCTTTTTTCACAGAGTTTTTATGTTTTAAACAACTTACAAATCATAACTTTGTTTCCCAGTAAACTTAACTTCAATGGGACTAACATTTTTCCCAATAGATCTCATGTTGAGACCAACACCTTCTCTTCCCGGATTCGCCTTCTCGGGATAAACACCATCTTTAGGATGAAGATACTGAACCTCACCATTGGGGAAAACTCTGTAAAACTGGTAAGTGATCTTGTACTTGGATCTAAGCCTTGTCCCAAGAGCCAAACACTGTTCTTTCCTCGCTAGCTTCAGCAAATTCGGACCTTCTCTCATGATCGCTGCACCTCCTGTCGGCATCTCAAAGATCTGTTCTTTCGGTGAGTTCCATGTAATAACGTAGAACTCTTCGACCTGCGCTTTGCGGAGAAGACCGCCGGTGCTTCCCGCGAAGATCGGAGACGGTGTGTTTGGGTCTAGCTGTGGCGGCGTGAATCCCACCGGAGCTTCTTTTTCTTTTTTCACGGCGGGGGCTGCGGCGGCGGCGGAATCTGTTTTCTCGGCGCGGATTGCGGTTTTGGTGAAGGAGAGGGATCTGGGACGGTGGGTTGTTGTGAAAAAGTGGAGTTTCTTTACATCGGAGGTTGCGGCGGTTGTTATGGCGGAGCTAAAGATTCCGGCGGCTTGAGTTGCCATCTCTTTTTTCTTCTTTTTTCTTTGTTCGTTTTCTTCTCTAATGAGAAAATTTTGGTTAATAGTGTATTTGATGGAGAAGAGAAAAGAGGATAATATTGTGAAATGAGAAGCTAGAAGAGTTTGTTGGATTGAGTGGATAAGGTAACCAATAGGATTCAACTATTAGATTTTTCTCTTACCCATCTGCTTCTGATCCTATCCGACGTCGTTTGCCACCTTCTTCCATTTTTTTTTATTATTTTTTGTTTTTCCGTAAACGTCCCATTTTAAGCGTAGTCGTATAGTTTAATGGGGTTCTAACTAATTTTTTAATAGTTTTTTTGCTAATATTGTGTTTATAAACCTCATTAAATTTTCTTCATTTTTTTAACCTCCGGTAGGTTCTTAAGTGAGGGTTATTTAAAATAAATTAAATTATAATATTAAAAGTATAAATATTTAATAAATAAAATTATTTTATTAATTCAAATTTAAACATACATTTACATAAAAACATTTAAAATACAGATATACAAATCATAAACATTTAGAAAAACTGTATAAGAATCAGAGTGTCTCAGTTTAAAAAAAAAATCCTTCAATCAATTACAAATTGACACATATAAATCTCTAACGAGGCTTTTAAAATCTTTAAATTAGAACTGGTTCTACTGAAATTAAGCAATAAATCTTTTTAAAAAAATAAAATTACCACTAAAACCCTATTAGAACTTACTCTAATAATATAAGAGCATCATTATCCCTAAAATCTATAAAAGTTTTCTTATAAATTTTTGATTGTTAAATTTGAGGAAGAGAAAAAAAAGAAAGAGAATGAGAGAGAAATGGTTGGAGAAAAAAAGAAGAAAGAGAAAGGAAGAGAAAATTTGTTAGCCAATTAAAAACTGACACTTGGATTAGAAAACCGTTTCTTGAGTATCCCAAATAAGGATCGCTTTTTGATAAAACCAACAATTAATCTTTATTTTAATTAAAAAATATCTAAGAAATTCTATTAAAACTCTGCGATAATGATGGTCTAAGATTCAGTTAGAGGTTTTAGAAAACATTGTTGAAATAACTTACACAAAAAAGTAGAGATGTTGCAAAGTTAGTATATATAAAATGTGATGATACGGTGAGTTTCAGCCATGTGGGCTTAAGCTGAAGATGGGCCGGTATTAAGGAGTCTAAGGCCCAGTCGGAGAAAGCTTGGAAAGGCCCAGATGAAGAAGTACACGTGAGTAGTTGCTGGTTCTTCAGGTCGTTGGTCAACAGATAAGGTTGTTGGCGTAACGGAATGGCTCTGGGTCGCAAGGTGCTGAGCTGGATCTGGAGAATAAAGGGTAACGGAGGGTTACGTGTGACTATTGCATGAGTAACAAGCAGGAGAGAGCTTAGAGATAGAGAGTAGAGAGAGAGACTTAGCTTCATCGTCTTCTTCCTTTGAGCTCTTGGTTGTAATCTCGGTATCGCTTCTCCTGGTATCTTGTAACACTCAAATACGTATAGTGAAACCTTGTGAGCAGGTATTAGCTCACCAAGACGTACCACGGCACATTGCCGTGGGAACTTGTAAATCGCTTGTCTTCTTTCTCTGTTTCTGCACATAGCGATCGAACACTCATTAGTAGAACAAATTGATCATCCAGCTAAGGATAGTAAACTGAACTGGAAATCGCTACAAGTGGTATCAGAGCCAGGTTGAAGCGGTCTATGGTGGTTTTCTAAGCGCGTATCTTCGATCCCCAAGGTTTGTGCGCGGGTCATTCTCCTAGGTGGGCGAGGTCGCTCCTGGTCTTCTCTCCTCGGCTCGTCTTTAAACTCTGTCTGCTCGACCCATTGGAGATTTTCCTCTTCCTCGTTATCGCGAATCGGGTCGGCGACTTCGTCAACTTGAATACCATTTAGTGCCGAGGCGAGCTCTTCTTGGCTTATTCGCCGAGCCGAGCCATTTTGTTGCGAGTTCGTGGTTCCATCATTCTGTTGGGCGTCCACTTCGATCGCATCATTCTCCTCTTCGCCGGCCCGTCGCCTTGAGTTCCGACGGAGTGGAAGCGGCTCGGTCATGTTAACTCGGGTTGCCGCGGGAGTCTGTTCGCCGAGGGGACAAAACATTGGTGGAGCCAAGGGGTTTCTCGCGCCGCTCCCCGAGGCTTCTGCAGGCGTTGAGAAATCGAAGCGTCTCCGGATTCCATCCATCGGGTCGGAGATTCCGGCTCTCCAAGTTGGGTGTCGTCGCTCGGCCGTCATCGCGTCGAGCCTCTCTGTAATCGCCTCGTTTCTTTTGTCCTGCTCGTCGATCTTCTTCATCAACGCAGTCATCATGTTTTGCATCTCCTCTTGGATTTTGGGCGTCGCCGTCGTTGTGCCTGATGCTGGAGCGTCCTTTTCTGCGCCGTTATCGTTGTTGTTGTTGTTGTTGTTGTTATCGTCGAGGGTGTTGCTCGCCATGTTCTTCGGATCATAAAGTCTTGTCGATTTAGAGTAAGAAAGTTTCGATCTCCCCACAGACGGCGCCAAATTGTGTGAGCCAAAACTCGCACAACCAAAAATTTGTAAAGAAAAACTAAGGGATCCGAAATTTTTAGGGGAATCGCAAGAACAATAAGATCGAAAGAGGGTCTTTTACTGCTGTGAAAGTGTTTAGCCTTTATTGCTTAGGGTTTAAAAAGTTCCAGAATGAATTGTATACATCGTCTATTTATACTAATTCTCTGAACCGCCTAGCCGAGAATCTCGAGAGAGATTTTCAGAATATTTCCTTATCGCCTCGTGCGGCTCACCGCCTTTGTGTTTCGCCTAGGGTTTCTATGGGCTTTGTCTCTCAAGGCTTTGGTTCGGCCCATCTGAACTTCTCCACGGCTCGGCCCACTTGCCATTTGAGTCAAGACGTGATTTGGTCCATCTCGCCGAGGCGCGGCTCGGCCCAAGCATGTTGAAGTGCGGCTCGGCCCATTTCTCATGATACGGCTCGGCCCATCTATCTTTCTCACAGCTCTCCCCATTGATCTATCTTCACGGCTCTCCCACTTGTTGACCACGGCTCTCCCACTTGTCTTGGTGACCACGGCTCTCCCAGTTGTCCTGGTGGGCACGGCTCGGCCCCTGTTTGGTGGACGGCTCGGCTACTTTGTCTTTCTTCTATATTTAGTCATTTTTGAGATGGTTTTATCTGCTTGGGGTGAGAACCGACCCCAACATCGAAGATAAATACGAAAGTGAATCCGTCGGATATCCTTACTAAGCCGGTTCCAGGTTCGAAATTTGAAGGAGATAGAAGTCATCTGAGGGTTCTCAGAGACTGATTTCAGCTCGGTGAAGAGTTGGAGGGTTTCGACATAGACTCGTGTCAGAGCAAAAGGGGAAGCTAATCGGTTTAGGTTAGCTTGAGTGGACTGAAGCACACCGAGGTGGAGAATGTGATGATACGGTGAGTTTCAGCCATGTGGGCTTAAGCTGAAGATGAGCCGCTATTAAGGAGTCTAAGGCCCAGTCGGAGAAAGCTTGGAAAGGCCCAGATGAAGAAGTACACGTGAGTAGTTGCTGGTTCTTTAGGTCGTTGGTCAACGGATAAGGTTGTTGGCGTAACGGAATGGCTCTGGGTCGCGAGGTGCTGAGCTGGATCTAGAGAATAAAGGGTAACAGTATTACTCAGGGTTACGTGTGACTATTGCATGAGTAACAAGCATGAGAGAGCTTAGAGATAGAGAGTAGAGAGAGGGAGACTTAGCTTCATCGTCTTCTTCCTTTGAGCTCTTGGTTGTAATTTTGGTATCGCTTCTCCTGGTATCTTGTAACACTCAAATACGTATAATAAAATCTTGTGAGCAGGTATTAGCTCACCAAAACGTACCACGGCACATTGCCGTGGGAACTTGTAAATCGCTTGTCTTCTTTCTCTGTTTCTGCACATAGTGATCGAACACTCATTAGTAGAACAAATTGATCATTGAGCTAAGGATAGTAAATTGAACTGGAAATCGCTACATAAACTTTATTACAAGTTAATTGGTTTTGAGTTAGAAATTCGTAATTTTGAAGATGTTATTGGTGCTTAATTGATTTGATATACCCATTTTTTTTCAATAGCATATATCAGTCGAAAATGGTAAAACTTTCGTAAATGTCTATATCAGTACCTAGATTCCATCAACTTTCGTAAATGATACGACTCATTTTTTCGTCTTCACATACATGCAACAAACCAATAAGCATACGCTCTTGCTTTGGCTTTGTTTCCCTAGTTCCAGATTTTTCGTTACTGTTGATGTATACGATCTACCATATTTCTTAATTAAGAGCCTCATAATCAAAGTGCTTTCGCAATTGCAAAATAAAATAAGTCGCTCTACTTTTTTTGTAAAATGTAGAAAGTCTTCAACATTTCAATTTTATGTAATATTTATGAATTTGATAGAGATTAATAAAAATAAAATTCAATCGAGTTTTCGGTTTTGCCACCTTTTAATTCATATCTATTTAATTAGAGGACTAAGAAATTGTTTATGACGAATCCAAAATCCATTAAAAAGGAAAAAAAAATGTAAGAAGCTGTCCATCAACAAAAAAATTCTAGAACAAAATGTTCAGTATTTGGGCTTAGGTATAGAATTTGGGTTTGTTAATGTGGGAGCAAGTTTTACTAGATAGATTCATCTTAACAATGGGCTTAGTGTTGGGCTTATGTGTAAGATAAGAGGAGTGTAAGAAGTAGAAAATTAAGCAAAGAAGGTCATCGTTTTACTTCTTTCATCTTGTTTTGTCAAAAACTAAGGATTTTATTATATATTTTGTAAAATTTATCTTTAAAAATTAATAAACATTAAATTGTAGATATTGTAAGTTTTTTAAAAAGTTTTTGAGAAAGTTTTATATAAAAATCTCATGTGAATATATATACTCTATCAAACATAATTATTATTATTACTATTAATTTTCATAAAATATATTTTTGATAAAATTTTAGCAACAAATGGCTGAACGACAAATGTCTGAATCTCAATGGATAGTAACAGCAAAGCTGAATATGAAGAGAGAGTTAGCTGATGTGGTAATTTGAGACAAAATGCTAAGAAATTGTGGTTAATTAGCCTCATTGGC